TTTTTTTTTTAAACCAGCTTACTGATTAAAAGGGAGGGGGGTCTCAATAACTTTCTGCCTGGGCTAGACTTCAACGAGATCCCCCCAATCTCTGCCTTCCAAGTAACTAAGGTAACAAGTGTGAGTCACCGTGCCTGGCTCGGAACCTTTCTTCTTCTTTTTTTTTTTAACCTTTCTTTCTGTTTTTTTGATGCTGGGATTTGAACTCAGGGTCTTGTGCTTGCTAGACCCTGAGTGTTCTACCACTTGAGCCATGCTGTCAGCCCTTGTTTTTGGCTCTAGTTATTTTTGAAATTAGGGTCTTGTTTTATCCTTGGACTGGCCTCAACTGTGATCCTCTATCTTTGCTTACCTGAGTAGCTGGTGATGACAGGCATGGGCCACCATACTTAGCTACTGGTTGAGATTGGGTCTTTTGAACTTTTTGCCAGGGCTGGTCTTGAACTGTGATCCTCTGGTTCTCTGCCTCCCAAGTAGTTAGGGTTATATGTGTGAGCCCCTATGCCAGGCCATATTCTTAGCACACAGTGTTTTGAAGTCTTTACTCCTCTCCACCCTCTATTGTTATTATTATTATTATTATTAATAATGTTATTTTGGTGCGACTGGGGTTTGAACTTGGGGCTTCACACTTGCAAAAGCAGCCACTCTACTTATTGAATTTTATTTTGGTTATTTTGGAGATGGGGTCATGAGAACTATTTTCCTGTGCTGGGCTGGTCCAATCTCGATCCTCCTGATCTCAGCCTCTCAAGTGACTAGGCCTGAATCCCTGGAGCCTGGCTTTACTTCTCCTGTGTAGTTGAAGTTGATATATGTACTTTATTTGTTGACCTGAGACATCCATTTGAATTTGTGTTTTGCCTTTGATCTGTGATTATGTAAGGGCATTTTCTTTGTCCCTGTGGTAGTTTGAGGAAGATAGCATTATATTCTCTTACATCTTTTATGTTCCATTAATCATCAAGGTGTGAAGAAAGCATGGCATAGAAACCAAATGAACTTTGCTGGTTTTTCAGTTAGGTGAATTAGATTATTTCAATTTCAGGGTATATTACTTTTTCATTATGCCTAGCTATTTCTTTGCCATAGTAATTGGAAGTGTAGTATTTGATATAAAGTAAGTATAATGTGTTTATTCATTTTTTTCTTTCCTTGTAATCTAGTTACCTTTTGACCCGGTACGCCGAATCCCTAGGTCAGTATGCTGCTGCATCCCAGTCCTGTAACTTCGCACTCAGGTTTTTCCACTCCAACCAGAAAGATGTAAGTGAAAAACCCTGTTTCACTGTGGTCTTGCCTGCCGACTGCGCGTGATTCAGTGTGTCCCTCATGTCACACTGTGCATTGAGAGCACCATGCTGCGCTCCTGGCAAGTGCCCTTAGGCAGCCAGGTAGAGGCAGAGTTACTTGGGTTTGTTGGAATGTGGATGTGTTTAGCTGAATCCTTGGAAAGTTGTATTTAACACTGAATGCTAACAGACTAAGAAGTGTTAGACCTCTTAGATCTGTCTCCAAGACACTTTTTTCAAGGATATAAGAGATAGTCCAGAAGAGCTTATAGCCTGGGACACCTTTATTTCTGAAGTTATCTCCATAGTGAGTGTACTTAAAATTATAAGTAATTTTCTTAGAATTACACAGTTGACCAGCTCAATTCAAGAAACTGGTCAGTTGTTTTTCGTTTTTTAGTTTTTTTTTTGGAAGTGGCAATAAATGAGAGTTTCTCTGTTCCTTAATGGGATGGGATTTGCACCATATTTTTCACTATGGTAAGCTAACTTGGGTTGCATTTGCTTAAGCTGTGCATGTGGTCTCTCTCACCTGACAACCTTGCAAAAACTACAGAAGATGCAATGTGGAGAGAAGGCATGTCTTCAGGTGGTCTACTTGGTTCTCACATAATTAATAAGACTCATTGCCTGGAATTTGGCCATGCCAGATATCATATTGCTTCCCATAGCCTTTCATTCTTATGGTTTACTTGCAGCTAAGGAACTTGGCAAGGAATTTATCATCTGGGGTTCTTCTTGGCAAGCTCTTTTTTTTTTTAAATACCCTGTAGTAGCTATAAAAGTTATGGCTATCTTCCATCCCTCTGGTTCTTTAGGGGTTTATTAAATAGAAGGCAGGCAGAAGCATTTTTGCACGTGGATTATAGGTTTGTTGTTCTCAGCTTCTGGTAATTCTGTTCTGAGGAGCTTCAGGACACAGCCTAGATGATACAGTAGCAAGCAAGAGCTCTGAGCAGGTACAACACTGATTCTGCTTAAATGGTGAGCTGTGCACCTTCAGTTGGTTTTTAGCCCTCCCCCCTGCCCATAGTGATTACTGTCTGTGTCACAGCTTATGATGAGGGAGAGAGGGAAGTGAGTATCAGCATCCTAGCACATTGCTTAGAAGGTGCTGGCCTGGTGTAGAGGCCACAAGGAATTGCTACGATATTGGCCTTTAAAATCTCCTGGTGTGAGTGGGTTGTTGAGTCATAAATCTGTGAGTTTTGACTGTGTGTTCAAGTATCTGCTTGCCCTCTGCTGTTTTCTTCTTCTGTTTTTTTTTTTTAAGTAGGATTTATTAGAAAGGAAAGGTTACAGCTAGAGAAGAGTAGGGGAGCCCAGAAGCCAGTAGCTCACTCTGCTGTTTTCAAAGAGCTTTACTTATTCAAAATGGAAAGAATTGACTTCTTCAAATCTCGTTATGTGGCTCATTTATTTGTAAGGAAGGTACTGACCCGCTATTTACCTAATTAACAATATAATGCAATTACTATTTATTATCACCATCGCTACTATTGACACAGTATCTCCGTGTGTAGCTCAAGCTGGCCTCAAATCAAGATCCTCCTCCTCAGTGCTGGGATCACAGGTGTGTTCCACATCCAGCTCTGAAGAACCCTTTTCAAAAAAATTTTTTTCCCTCAAATAGCTTCTTGGTGGTGGGAGTAATTAGAGAAACTTTCAATCTTGATGGCTGGTTTTCTTCCAGTTTTCAGTCATATAGAATGCTGTAAGAACCATATTATTTGTGAGAATTTGGCCAATGAAGTCACATTATTTTATATAATAAAAATTAGGCTTTAATTTTTTTACTTTCCATAAATACTGTGTGTGAAGAATTGTTGTTTAGATGAAAAATTAACCCAAAAATGAAAACACAAATATATTGTAATATATGGAAAGGAGATTACCAGGAACAACTTGAGGGGATTTGATTTTTTTTCTTTTCTTTTCTTTTTGTGGTACTGGGCTTGAATTCAGGTTCTACACCTTGAGCCACTCTACCAGCCCTATTTTGAAAAGGGTATTTTCAAGATAGGGTCTGTCGAACTATTTGCCCAGGTTGGCTTTGAACCGTGATCCTCCTGATCCTTTCGAGTAGCTAGGATTATAGGATTGAGCTATTGGCACCCTACTCTCTGATTCTATTATGAATGAATGAATTAATTAGAGAGCGTTACACTATACAGTCTAGGCTGGCTTTGAACTCTCCATCCTTCTTTCTCATCTTGCTGCAAAACATGTTTGATATTTTGCTGATGGTTGTGTGTAGCAGATGTTACTGATTAGGCTGAATACATGTGACAGAGTCTGATAAAATTATAGAATTGTAGTTATTTGGAATTAGGACTCTGCAATTTATGATGGGACTTATTTAATCACACAAAAGTAGATCATCTGGAGGCAAAAGAAAAACACAAAACAGCAAGAAAAATCCATCTTGATCTTGATTCCCTATGTCCCCATGTAAGGAAATAGAGACGATGGTGTGGACTATCTCCTGAAGGAATAGTATGCTGGTCATGACCATGGTGTCATAGCAATGGCATTCAACCTTCTTCTCATAGTATTAGAAATATCTTCCTGCAAACCCAAAGGTCCATGTTCTATATGTTTTATTCCTGGTAGTTTGGGGATCCCTAAATGCTTTTTCTTTGGGTGACTGGTGTATTCACTTCCCAATTAGCTCTTTGAAAGAACCCTTGCTCCTTAAATGGTAAATCCATTGTTCTTAGTGTGGCTTTGTGCTGTGAAATTGATATTTACCTGTGGAAGGTCTATATAGGAATCTTCTTTCTAGATAGGTCATTTTACTTTGAAGTAGACTGTTTAAAATACGACAGTCAGTGCTATATTTCTGTATCTCCAAAAGTCACCTGATTGTACTTTGAAAAATCTCCCATTGAAATCTCTGTCTTAGGTGTTCATGAAAATCACTGTTCAGGGTCAGATGTCCATGTATGTCGCTTATTTTTAGTGTGCCCAGGGTTCATTTCAGGACTCCATTTGGGATCTGTGCAGCCTCATGGTTAAATATGAGTAGGTACGGACAACATAAATCTTTAAATTACCTGTGGCTTCTGGTTTTGCCTGCAGTTCCTTTAGGGGACTGTCCCCTTAAACAGGCCCTTGTGTAAGCTCTCAGTGGTATTTACTGTGGTGTTTAAGGAGGACTATCTAAACCAGACGAGCAGAGAACTACAACTGCTTTCTTGGTTTGTTAAAGACTATCTTCCTTCCTTATTGCCCCTTATTTTTCTCTGAAAAATTTTGTTGGGCCTAGCTAGCACAAGGCCCTGAATTCAAATCCCAGTACCGCTGTTACCATTTTTCTAACGTATTCTATGGACCATTCAGAGCTTATTTTGGACTGTAATTTGTAAACTTGCTCAGAATTATCAAAATCACATTCCCATACGATTAGTTGCTGAGTCACATGTTCCCAGTTTTTTTCAAGTTTAAGTTCCTCTCCCAAGGACTGATAATAAACCTTGCTATGTTTTCTAAGCCCAGGGGCTGTGGGATAGCTGTAGATGGTTAGTGTCCCGGCCTCATCCTCAGTCAAACTAGAAGCTACACTTGAGCTTTTTCAGATAGTCCTTCTTTAAACCTGCAGGATCACAAGTAATCTTTTTAATTTTCTTGTGTCCGTCCGTCTTTAATCTCTCCAGATACTGCAGGCAAACAGCTCGCCGAGGTGTCCCATGGGGGTTTAAAAGCCGCATCGAATGCAGTTGAATTAGCGCCCGTGGCGCAATCCCGCGGCCTGAAATGAACCCTGCGAGGCTGTGTTTCAGAGGGTATGTTGTTGACTATTGGCCTATTTTCCTACTGGGCAAATTATTCAGACATAAGTACATGGGGGCACAGCTGATGAACTGAGGCTATGCAAACAGACTGGCTTTTCTAGAAAGGATTGTTGTTGGAGGCAGACATCAGCTTTCGCTAAACACTATCTTGGCCCAAAGGGGTGATCTCCTGTCTTCTGGTCCTGCTGGCACAGGCACAGTCCTGTGAAATGTTCTTCCCTGAGATTTTCTTCTATTGTTTCAGAATTTCCATTTAGAATTCTTTATCTTGCCCCTGTTCTGTAACATTTCATCTGTATACATGTTTTAATCTATAATTAAAACATAGGTGGTGAGTGTTCCCTTCACTTACTCATCAGTGGAAATTCCTAATAGATCTTAGGAAGTTTGGATACACAAGAAACTCAGTTCTTGTTCTTTTTAAGACTAGATTATGACATGACTTTTTCTAGGTCTTTTGTTTGGTGTCCTCGATCCTGAGACAATGCACATCAGCCCTGTGTATTTTCTATAATATCCAGAAAGAAACAATTAAGGGGCAGCCTGTTTTTTTCTCAAGGAAAGTAATTTTATTTGGGGTGTGGGTGTGGCCAAATTGTTCTGGCATCTTTGGAAGCTTTGTATAAAACTTAGATTATCTTAGCTGGAGAAAAACATGGAGTAATATCCCTTCCAGAATTGCACTGGCTAGGGTTGGAGGTGTGGCTCATGTGGTACATCACCTTCCAAGCAAGCACGAGACCCTGAGTTCAAACCCTAGTACCTCTAAAAAAACAAACATAAAAACCCTCAGAACCAGAATGGCACTGACTAAATGTTTGTCTGGTGTGGTATAACAAAACCTCTATCCTGTTGCATTGAAAGCCATGGCTGCCAAGAGGTCTGTGAAATGGTAGGATGTAGCTACCATCAGGGTGTTGTGATTAGTAATATTAATAAAGAAGACATTTGAGCTTAGGTACAGGAAGGAAGAGCAGTATCATTTTTAAAAACTGATATTTATATGGTAACTAGGACCTTTAAAGACTGGATTCAAAGCCTTAATTTTAGCATGATTATGTTGTTTTGGCTGGCCAGGCTTTGCTTCTGTTGCCTGACCTGTGAAGTATTTATACCAAGGTGATATCTTTCCTTCTCAGACCTCAGAATATATTATTCAAGCTTACAAATATGGTGCATTTGAGAAGATCCCAGAGTTTATCGCTTTTAGGAACAGGCTGAATAATTCTCTCCATTTTGCGCAAGTCCGTACTGAACGGATGCTGTTAGACCTTCTACTTGAAGCAAATATGTAAGTATTTCCTAAGAGGTAAAAAGGAACTGAGGGACTAGATCAGTTGCTCAGTCGTTAATGAGCTTATGTGTGTCATTAGTAGGTTTAGATAGAAGAAACGTGTCTGGGGAAGAGAGGTGGGGAAACAGGGAGAAACAGCTTCTTGAGCTTGTCATGGAGAAAGGTAGAGTTCTGCCAGCTACAGCTGACATCCGGTGTAGGTGCTAACTAAGCCGTGGTCACCATCCTTGGTCCATATTGTGCTCACAAGGGTCTCCTCCCCCACCAGCAGAGGTTTCATGAGCTAGCACTGGTCCACTTTAGTTTGATATGGCTTTGGGAGTCTCTCTTGTGTAGGAGACTGCATGACCTGTGATTGACTCTATTTCACATTAGATGAGCCTTCGTAATACTAAGTCCTTTCTTCTTTCTCTTCCTTTCCTTCTAGTAAAACAAAATCCTGGCTCATGTTTTCTCAAGTGCTTTGTTATTGAAATAAACATAAATAAATTCTGTATATTACAGATCTATCACCTTAGCAGAAAGTATAAAGTCAATGAATCTTCGGCCAGAAGAAGATGACATTCCATGGGAGGATTTGCGAGATAACCGAGACTTAAATGTTTTCTTTAGCTGGGATCCAAAAGACAGGTAACTGGAACTTAACCCCAGGCAGTTCATTTCTAAAGAATTAGGGGGGAAATCTTTTTTTTTTTTTTTTTTTTTCATTTTTCTTTTATTATTCATATGTGCATACAAGGCTTGGTTCATTTCTCCCCCAAAGGGAAATCTTTTTTATACAAATATGAAATGTTTATTATTGGGATCAGAAAATACAGGTAAAACAAAGAAAATAAATCTCACCCCTGTGTTGGGATTGCTGAATAATCAAAAGGTTAGCTCTGTTTCATAATATGTATGGGATGAATTCCAGATGGATTAAATCCAGATGCTACAATTTCCTAGAAACTCTGGAAGAAAAGATATAAAATATTTTTAAGTAGGTGGGGAAAGGTTTTGTTAGCATTATATCAAGTCTGTAAATAAAAATAATCTGTGAAATTTCTGTGTGTGTGTGTTCTTCCCCTCCCCTTCCCTCCCCTTTCCTCCTTACTACCCCCCTCCTCCCTTTCTTTTTTTTTAAATTCTATTGTATTTATTTATTTATTTATTTATTGCTCTGGATCAAATCCAGGGCCTGCCGTTTGTGCTAGGCAAGTGCTTTAACAGCCTATAATTTCCTCATATATTAGTGCCCCTTATCTATATAGAGAGTGCTTGATAAATCAATATAAAGAATAAAACTAAAAAACAGCTTAGGCAAAGGGTTTAATCTGTTCAAAGAAATGTATGTTACAGCACCAAGGATTTTATTTCTTTCTAACAAGAAAGATTGATACTGTAGTCAGCTAAGTTGTGTGGAAAAATGTTTCTTGTCATGTATTTGTGGAGGTAAAATTTTGTGTGGCCTTCCTAGAGGGAAGTTTAGTGATCTGTATGTTGACTTAAAATGCCAAATACCATATTTTACTTATCATGTCTGCTTCTTGGAAAGGAGAACCTGAGGTAATTAAGACTCAAGCCCGCAGAGATGTATAATATGCGGTAATTCTGCAAACACTGTGACTTGTAGGTGCGTAGACCACATTAGTGTGTTACTAGAACGACTCGAGGGACTTAGTATATATTCGCTTTTACTGCTAAGGTTTGTTACAGAGAAAAGATACATGACAGGCAAGGGAAAAGTTACAGGCAGTCTAGAGAATTCTATGCTCTGATATCCACTGTTCCCCCTCTGAGAGGTATACATGGAGCAGTAGGAAAAAAAATGCCTTAATACATGTACACAGCCCTGTAGGGATTCAATACCCAATTTAATACCCAAGTGTTTTTTTTTGGTACTGGGATTTGAACTCAGGGCTTTGTGCTTGCAAAGCAAGTGCTCTAATGCTTGAGCCACACTCTAGTCCTCCTTTCCCCCCATAACCAAGGTTTTTTGTGTCCAGCATGTACCAAAATTCCAGACTCCCAGGGGAGCAGGTTTTCACCATAAATCATCTAGTTTATACAAATGGTCTAGCACAAGAGCCACTCTTGACATTTAAGTAATGATTGGAATGCAGTTTGCCACCCTTGCAAGTACGTCATTCTAACAATAATGGCTGCAGGCCTGGTGTATGTCTAAAAGATTCAGCTTAAATACTACAAGCTAATTTGTTTCATGTGATAGAAAGATTATTTTTGTTACATATGTATTTTTTGGTGGTGCTTGGGACTCAATCCAGGGTCCTGCACATGCCAACCCATGTGCTCTACTACTGAAGTCACTTAGTAATTTAGTGCTCTTTGTAGAAATTCTCTCTTCTTTTTCTAGTGGTGGTGGTACTGACACTTGAACTCAGGGACTTGTGCTTGCTAGGCAGGTGCTCTTACCACTTGAGCCACTCCTCCAGCCCTTTTTTAGTGTTGGTTATTTTTGAGATAGGGTCTCGTGAACTATTTGCCCAGGCTGGCTTTGAACCTCCATCCTCCTGATCTCTGCCTCCTGAGTAGCTAGGATTATAGGTGTGAGCTACTGCCCAGTTGCTGCTGCCTTCTTTTTTTTTTTCTAGTGGTGGTGTACTGACATTTGAACTCAGGGCCTCATCCTTGCTAGGTAGGCGCCTTTTACCAGCCTATTAGTTCCATTTTTATACATCTGTTATTGCAAAAGTCTGAAGGTAACTATACAAACTTGCTAATATTGTGGGTGTTTTGTTGCTATAAAGGCACTTTTTCTTTCTAACTTGTAGTTTTCTCTCATTTGAATTCATTAAAGAAAAAAAATCTTAAGGAGGAAATGACCTGTTCAATAGGTTATTGTGCCCGTTTTCTTGATAGTGAAATAAGTGGCTTGTCCGCCAGCATTCAGATAGTAAATGAAAGCTGGGATCATTCAGAGGTTATCTTGACGGGTGGAGGTATGTGTAGAGAGATTTGAATAAGTTAGATGGACTGAGGATGTTTCTGTTCAAGGGATGTTTCTGAAGAACATAAGAAACTTTCCTTGGAGGAAGAGACCATGTGGTTAAGAATCCGTTCCTTAACGTTGAGGCTGATCAGTGGACTTCCGAGTCTTAACCACCCTGTGGAGTCAAAGAACTCGGAGAAGACTGCTGAGAATGGGGTGTCGTCCCGGATTGATACTCTGCGTTTGCTCCTTCAACAGCTCGAGGTGGCTGTGGAGATGGGAAAGCGATTTACTGAGAAGGAAATTCAGGTATCACCAATAAGCATTTGCCATTGAAGGTGCAAAATACCTGTACTTAGCACTGTTTTTTTGTTTGTTTGTTTGTTTGTTTGGAGGTACCTGGCTTTGAACTCAGGGCTTGACACTTGTTAGGCAAGTATCCTACCACTTGAGCTACTCCACTAGCCCTGTGACTTTTTTATTTAAAAGATAAGACTTTGTACTTGGTTGAGTAGTGGAAAACAGCATTTTGTCCCAGTTTACGGTATCTGGAGGAAAAAGAGGAATAATACAGGCCACGAGGGACAGTAAAGAAAACAAAATAGCTTTCTTTTTGTGGTGGTAAATTTTTAATACCTGTTAAATTAATATGGCATTCTGGTTTTACTAAAATGATTCAGCTAATTAATGGCTTTTGACTGAATACTGAAACCAGCTTTTTTTTTGTGTGTAGTACTGGGCTTTGAACTCATGGTCTACACCTTGAGGTGCTCTATCAGTCCTTTTTTGTGAAGGTTTTTGCAAGATAGGGTCTCGCAAACTATTTGCCTGGCCTGGCTTCAAACCATGATCCTCCTGTCTTTGCCTCCTGAGTAGCTAGGATTATAGGTGTGAGCCACTGGGGCCCAGCTTTGAAACCAGTTTTATCTAGTAGTTATAAGCGTTTTGTTTTCTTACTTTGCATGAATTAAAGGATATCATTTTCCTTCTTTCCAGTATCCTTTCCTTGGCCCTGTACCAACCAGAATGAGTGGATTCTTTAATTCTGGCTGTTCTCAATGCCAGATAAGTTCCTTTCATCTTGTGAATGATATTTATGAGCTGGATACCAATGGCTTAGGTAAGTGTACACAGTGTGCGTAGTTACTCAACCTTCGTTATTGAAAACTTAGTAAATGCAATAAAATATCTATAACCTCCCACATTAGAAACATGCATAGATGTAAGCTGGCAGCTGCTCTGGAAAAGTCTAGTTTTCTAAACAAGAGACAGCTTTCAAAGTATTATTTTAGAAACCTAAGTCATTTCCATGTTTAATGTCACTTTTCCGATTCAACAGATGAAGAAATCCTTGATTTGTTGAAATATTACTGGGTTTTTAGATTGCATTGTATTTTAAAAATGAAGCTTTCAATTCAGGGAGAATCAAAAATTTTCCAAAAACTGTATTTTTTGGTTTTTCTAAATTCATAAGGCTTGTTGTACTTACAACCCTAGTAGACTTAGAGCACCCGAAACACATAGGTTTCCCGTCCTCCTAGATCATTTTAGGTAGTTCTTTGGCAGAAAGGTAATTAATGCCATTTCTTTTCTCCTTTTTCAATTTCTTTTTGCCTTCCTTTGTCTTTTTCTCTGTTTTTATCTCTCAGTAATGGGATTTAGATGTTTAGGGTCTTAAGAGAAAATGGTCCTGGTTCATGAATGAAACTTTTTTTTTT